TGCCAAATTCCGGTAAGTGTTAAAAGGGATGTTGAACTAACTAGGTGCCATCTAGCTGAAGTCAAAGTGACTGAAGGAGTTTATGATGGTGAAGTTTAACCAAGTATAGATATTAGAGCATAACAGGAGAAAGACCAGGATTTGAAGCTAATAATTGAGTTCCCAAGTAAGTGTTTTGCACTCTGCTTTGAAGAAGGTGTCTAGCTTAAGCCCTGTGACAAAGAACTATTGGGCACAATGGGACCAGTTGTAGCTTGAAGATGGTATTCTTCTTCTTCGGAAATGGGAAACTACAAACGGTTATACCGAGAAAGTTACGGGAAGCTGTGCTGCGTCAATCCCATGATATTTTAGCAGGAGGACATCTCGGAGTTAAGAAGACATTGAGTCACCTACAACAGAGATTTTACTGGATATGTATGAGGCAAAATGCAAAAAGCAGACAATGTCCAACAACTATCACAATTTTTCTGGCTTTCTACGTATGCAACAAGAGCTGTTGAAACTTCACGTATGCTCGTTGATGTGTTTCCTATGGGAATCAAGCTTGAACTGAAAATGAAATTTACAATTCTCTTTACAGAAAACAATGTAATATAATATGTCACTTGATATATGAAAACCTTGGCTTTCTATTGGTTATAAACAATATAGTATTGAACATCACAGAGAACTATAGGTAATTTTTGAAAGAAAGGATGTGACAGGTGGGCATGGCAAAAGGGGTCTGGTTGTCTATTTCATGGCACTGTAACCAAATAAGATTCAAGACTATGAAAATTATGCTTTGCCTGAGCAATGATGTTATTATGATAAGTAAATTACATCAAATTTCTTACTTCTTGGAAGGGTGGTAATTAATTAGAGAAGAAGGGATGCCAAGAGAGCAAATGTCACAATTCTCACATTAGGGGAAATTCTAGATTTTTTTTAAATATTGCCTTAAAAAGTAAGAACTTAAAACTTATATGATATTAAAATATGGAATATTAGCTACATTTTTATGCTATATTTATTTGTGTACCATGAAAAGATAGTAGTTTAATTAAATTTTGAATGTAACTCATTAAAACCTCATGAAATGCACAAAAAAGATGCTTGTGAAGAGAGTTTAAAGGTAAAGAACTATCTAAAAATAAATATGAAGTCAACAAAGGCAAATTCAAAGAATAAGTCTAGGCTTCATATAGTAAGGGAATGCATATCATATATATGGTGTTTTACATTACAAACTATATGTGTATGTAATATGTGCATTATTATTAATTTCATTAATTAAAAAAAATATGTATTATCCCCTGAACTGCCAAAAAATGTAAGACAGCATTTCAGTTTAACAGAAGACTAAAGTTAACTGATAGATTAAGGATTAATGCTATCATGCTAAACTATATTACAAATTATGCAAAAATAATGACAAAAAACAAGTACATTTGATAATTGAACAGCAAATGTAACAACAGTAAATGTTTTTCAATTTCTCAAGTATATGGGCAAAACACCTGATCATTCATAAAGAAAAATAAAAACTAATAAACTAAATTAAATACGAACAATAACAATAATATAAAAATAATAATTAATAAATAAATAATAAATAAATAATAA